ATCTCTTAAATTGAAATCTCATTCAACAATTTCGAATTTTCATTTCCTTCATCTTAATATGAATCAAGGTTCTTTGAAGTCTTAGAAAGGGTCTCGTAAAGGTTGACATTTGACTTGTACCCTATAAAACTATAATAGTTTTTTATATCCTAATATATATCTGTTGATTAATTTTCAATATTACAAATGCATAGCTTGTGCTTTTATTCGCGTTTCTTGAAAACATATTTTGAAACTTATTTTGAGATTTGATAAATTTCCCTATATAATGTAACTATAATGATCAATTTTGAATACCATGAGTAAATACACAATTATGAATTTGTGATTGATATTGTTTAATGCCGAGTCGGCAATATTTCAGCCATATATAGGCGGTGAAAAGTCATGTTCAGGTTTGAAGGATTTTTTTGGTTTCTCTGGTGGCCCCCAGTGAGCCTACTCTTTTTCGAAAACCAGAAAAACGATCTTTTACGTGCCAAGGGGGTTGGGGCACCATTGAACGTCCCATCCGACGGACTTTGAGTTTGTGAATTCAGGGACAATTCTGTGAGCATTCTCAATTACTTAACTACTGATTTTATGAACCCGAGGATCAGACTACATTAAAATGAAGTGATAATTTTCAACATAACCTATGCATATCATTGCAAGTTTTCATAGTGTCTTTTCCTCTTTTGCCTTGTATTTTGACATTTCTATTACTAATTTTCAACTGATTTTTTTTAGTTTAATGTGTATGTTAAAAGCTTATCTACCAAATGATGCTCAATAAATTTGTTGAAGTACATGTATTTTGTTTATCTCATTATTTTTTCTAAGATTACATAGACAGATAAGTTTACAAATGAACTCGATAATGAATTGTTGCTTAGTCTATGACAGCCTTGGTTTAAAAACATTGATATATTTGGCTGTATCTTTAGATGATGAATATTTTTTAAAGAAAAAAATACGTTTATATTATTTATAATATAAGGCACTACCACTCAAAAAAATAAAACGGACATTAATTTGAGAATGATGTTCAACAAGCAAATTCAAAGAATTGTGGTCCCCCGCGCCTTCGGTGTTTTAGTGGATGGGATGTCATTATTTATGGGATATTGTAACTGTCTTGTTTGTGTGTCGTGTCTGTGCATTCTACAAAAGAGACAAAAATTATTGAATTAATAACAATTATGGCAAGATTATAGCTTCTCAAAACTACGTCAAACTTCAAGATAAAGGTCATGAGGTCAAATATCATAATAAAATCCGAAAGATCTTGTCACAATAATGCACATGTTAAAAAAAGTCAAAAACCAGAGTACATAATTGGAAAGGTCTTAAAACAGATAATGCACATGTCAAATGTAAATGCCATATCTTTCTCAATTGAAAGTTATTAAGAATGTTAAAATGTTTGAAAGTCAGGTCAAACTTCAAGGTCAAGGTCATGGAATTAAAAGTCATAGTACGTTTGGAAATGCTTGTCACAGGTAATGCACATGTCAAATATGAATGTCCTATCTTCGCTCTTTCAAAAGTTAGCAACACTGATGAAATGTTTTGAAAATTAGGTCAATCTTGAAGGTTAAGGACATGGAGTCAAATATCATAGCACATTTGGAAAAAATTTTGACACAGGTAATGCACATGTCAAATATGAATGCCCTAATCATTTGTCATTCAAAAGTAATCACCAAAGTTAATTTTTTTGAAAATAAGGTCAAACATAAAGGTCAAGGGGTCAAAAATCATAGCATACTCGGAAACAACTTTTCACTGGTAATGCACATGTCAAATATGAAAGCCCTATCTATTCTCAATGAAAAGATATAAGTAAAGCTAAGATAAAAACAAATTCAAAGAATTGTGGTCCCATAGTATATTTGAAAAGGTCTTGTCACAGGTAATGTACATGTGAAATATGAAAGCTCTAACTCTTCTCATTCAAAAGTTATTACCAAGGTTAAAGTTTTTGTGACAGATGGACAGACGAATGAGATTTAATGTCCCCTCACTTTTGCGAAAGTGGGTAACAACAGATGGACACCTGGTAACTTCATTCCTGCTGTTGTGCAGGACACAAATATTCCATTGAAATGATTCATTCAAGAAAGGTGTCATCAAATAACAAATTAAGTACAGTATTCTGTGTCTTGAGGACTAAGGCTTTGGACAGGTTTGCCATAAATCAAAATTCAATATATACATGTAGTTTGAAACTTTTTGTGCCTTGATATTTAGCAATCTGTAAGCAAGAAGACAAGTAGCTACTCTGTATGATCTCTTTCCCAAAATGTGGAATTTGTTCTCCCTGAGTTCCTGCCCCATAATGAGGCAAAATAGATATATCCCACATACTAAAATTAGTTGAAATTGGCTAAACCCAGAGAAAGATCTTAAAATAATCAAACATTTATGAACATAATACAATGCACAGTTCATGGTGTACTACAACAGACAGGTACAGAAAAGCATAAGCTATGATGTATCTGATTGACTCAGGTGACCAAAAAGCTCAAAAATCTTTCAAATTACTTACAATGATGAACTATTTTATTTATGACTTTGGTTTTACACATACATGTACAGGGTTCAGTTGAACAAATGGTATGCAAATTTATTTATGTACATAATGCATGTATTACATATATCATTGTGAAACATGCATGATGCAAATTTTTACTATTTGTATACTATATAAAACATTAACACTCTTTCTGACATCAGTTTATCAATTATTAATAATTAACAAATAAGAGGTGTGAGACAATTAAAAGTAACCTCCGCAAGTCTAATTTTACAAATTACGTTAAAATTCAAAAATGACATAACACAGAAAAAAACTAAGAATCCAACTTCTCAAAGACCATGCTTTGAACAAATTTGAATTTAAATTACATACCAAAGCTCTAATAAATTTTCTCAACAAATTATCTGCAAAAGATTTTTCAAATGATATCTCATCCAATATTCTCTCCTTTGGAGGGTAACAGTACATTGAAAACAAGAGGCCCATGGGCCACATTGCTCACCTGAGCACATTGGCTAGGAAAAAGCACAAATCAGTTCAGTATTGAAAGGTTTACATTGTGGGGATTGAATATTAAACTACCTGAAGATGCTTCCATATCAATATAACATATGGCTTTGCTGTTCTTGAGCAGCAGATTTTTTCCTATAGATTCCTTTGTAAAAATTTGATCACCCATTGTGGCCCCTCCCTATCCCCAGGGGTCATCATTTGAACAAGCTTGAATCTACACTACCTGAGGATGCTTCCATATCAATATAATTAAACATGGCTTTTCTGTCTTTAGAAGAAGATTTTTTCCTATATATCACTATGTTAAACTCTGATCCCCCATAGTGGCGCCACCCTTCCCCCGGGGGTCATCATTTGAACAAACTTGAATCTACACTACCAGGATGCTTCCATATAAACACGACTAATCATGGCTTTTTTGTTCTTGAGAAATTTTTTTCCCTATATATTCCTATGTATAACTTTTATCCCCCAATGTGGCCCAACCCTACCCCCAGGGGTCATGATTTGAATAAACTTGAATTTACACTACCTGAGGATGCTTACATATCAATATGACTACATATGGCTTTGCTTTTTCTTGAAAAGAAGACTTCTAAAGATTTTTTTCCTATATATTCCTAGTAAAACTTTGATCCCTCACTGTGGCCCCACCCTTCGCCCGGGGGTCATCATTTGAAAAAAACTTGAATCTACACTACCTAAGGGTGCTTCCATATCAATATTACTAATCATGGCTTTGCTGTTCTTGAGAAGAAGATTTTTAAAGATTTTTTCCCCCTATATATTCCTATGTAAAACTTTGATCCTCCATTGTGGCCCTACCCTACCCTCAGGGGTCATCATTTCAACAAACTATAATCTACACTATATAAAGAAGGTATCCTATAAGTTTTAACTTTTTGGCCCAGTGGTTTTTGAGAAGAAGATTTTTAAAACATGTCACCAAATTTTCACTATTTCTGAATTATCTCCCCTTGAATGGAGTCACAGCCCTTGATTTGAACAAATTTAAATCCCTTCACCCAAGGATGCTTTGTGGCAGTTTGGTTAAATTGGCCTAATGGTCATTTTCATTTCATTAATTTTCAAGTCGAAAATGTGAAAAGTTTACAGGTGGACTACAGACAAAATGTGATCAGAAAAGCTCACTTGAGCTTTCAGCTTCAATTAAAACGCAATCTTCTTCCAAAGAAGTACTAAATGTCAAGTTGGGGTACAATAACTAAGTGCTTCTAAAGAGAAAATAAATATTGTAAAATTTAAATAAACAAGAAGCCCATATGCCACAACGCTCACCTGAGTACATGACCCTTCTCTTCTTTATCAGAAGATTTTTTTTCTCCAACTTAAAAGGTAAAATTAACATAATATGTTGTGACCCCACCTACCCCAAGGTGTCATGATTTGAACAAACTTGAATCTGAGGATGCTTCCATATATATTTGACAAATCATAGCTTTGCTGTTCTGAAGAAGAAGATTATATAAGATTTTTCATAAGTAAAAATTTGATTGGCCATTGCAACCCAATACTATCTCTGGTGGCCATGATTTTAACAAATTAGAATCTTCATTTAAAATACTTCATTATGAATATGAATAATCATGACTTTGCAGTTCTTTAGAAATAGAATTTTTAAAGATTTTCCAGATGCATTCCTACGTTAAACTTTGATCTCCCATAGTGGCCCCACCCTACACTCTGGGGTCATGATTTGAACAAACTTGAATCTACACTACCTGAGGATGCCTCCATATAAATACAATTAATCATGACATTGTTGTTTTTGAAAAGAAGAATTTTAAAGAATTTTCCTATGTATTCCTTGGTAAAACTTTGATCACCCATAGTGACCCCCATCTTCACTAGCCAAGGGTGACGATCCGCTCCTCTGCTCTTTTCTTTTTGAAAAGAGGAGAGGAGTGGATCGTCACCCTTGGCTAGCGAAGATGAGTGACCCCACCCTACTCCTGGGGGTCATGTTTGAACAAACTTTAATCTAAACTACTTGAAGATGCTTCCAAATAAATATGACTAATTAAGACTTTGCTGTTCTTGAGAAGAATTATATAGATTTTCCTATGTATTCCTATGTAAAACTTTGATCACCATAGTTGCCCCTCCCTATCCCTGGGGGTCATAATTTGGACAAACTTGAATCTTGGCTACTTGAGGATGCTTCCATATAAAGATGACTTAACATAACTTTGCTGTTCTTGAGAAGAAGAATTTTAAAGATTTTACCTACATAAACCTTCCTGTAAAACATCATCCATAGTGGCCCCACCCTACCCCCAGGGGCCCAAGGTTAATGATTTGAATAAACTTGAATATACCGTACCCTAGATAGCTTTCACACAAGTTTCATCTTTTCTGGCCCAGTGGTTCTTGAGAAAAAGATTTTTTATTTACCCCACCCTATTTTTACTACTTCTTAATTATTTCCCCTTGGAAGAGGGTGTGGCCCTTCAGTTGAACAAATTTGAATCCCCTTTTACCCAAAGATACTCTGTGCCAGGTTTGGTTGAAATTGACTCAGTGGTTCTGTAGAAGGAGACAAAAATGTGAAAAGTTTATGATAACGCCAACAACAACAGACAAATTTTGATCAGAAAAGCTCACTTGAGCCTTCAGCTCAGGTGATCTAAAAACAAAGGGACATTAGAGCTAGTCGAACCTGCTCACTTAGAAAGTTTTAATGAACAATCAAGAGCTAGTGAACAGCTAAAAATTCCTCAAGGTAAGGTGGGATGAGACCTTGATAATTTAGTCCATTGTTGCACACACATCTGGCAGCAATGCACTTCAGAGAGAGTTGACCAGATGCCCTCAGAATCCCTGCATCCTCTTCCCTCTTTGCACAGTCAATGGCAGTTTTTCTCTCATTGTTGCAAATGTCAAGATGAGCATTATTGTCAATTAAAATATTTATGGTATTGTGAACTTTTCTTGTATCCACAACAGAGTTTTGAGATATGTTTACTAAAGCGTGCAAGGGGGTGTTTCCCTGGGAGTCCTGTGCATTCACTCTTGCTCCGCATTTGATTAAAAGGTGAGCAACTTGGCTGTCTGGAAATGACACAACATCATTAACATGGAAATCATCTACATATGTAGAACCATCTACAGCCATATGTAGTGGTGTATAGTTATTTTTTAGGAGTGGATTTAATTTAAGAAAATGATACACAAGTGGGTACAAGCCTTCTAACTCTGAAGCACTATGTTTGGTTTTTAAAATAATTACAAGAAGATATAAACAAGTATGGATATTAGTTTGATGTATCTCAACCAGAGAATCTCCATCGTCTTCAGAATTTGTTATTCTCTCTTTATCATTGGTAAGTTCTGCCATGGCATACTTGAACACTTCTTGGACACTGACAAAGTTCACGGCTTCATCTATGTGAATCATTTGTGAGAAAACTTGGGCAAATCTCAATAAATCCTTAGCAATGGATCTTTTATTAGTATGCCTCAATTTCATTGCATGCAGCCAAAGTGAGATGCAACGGTCAAACCGCTTGTTATCAGCAAATACTGCACCTCTAAATATGATTGGATGTGGGACATCTGGGTTGTCAGGCCCAAGGATTCTCTCTCTGATTGCAAGTGATTCCATGTGCAGTGCTTCAAAATCATACTTGATTGCATTAAGTTCACCAAGTGTTTTGCACTCAATCCGACTGTTGTATGCATCTACACATGGATAGTCATTCTTTGTAATAATATTGTCAGGATCACTGTATCTCAAATGCATAGCTTCACGCAGGTATAAAAAAGCTTTCATTACATCATAATGTTCTTTATCATTTGCAAATGAAGCACCAAGCAATTCAAAAGCATCAATCTTTTCTTCTTTGGTTTCAACTTTGGTTGCAAGGAATTCCACAAGAGCAGATTGTCCACATTCTGCAGCCACCAGTAATGGCGTCATTCTGTAATCATTTGGAATTTGTTTTCCGTTGAATCTTACTAGATCTTGTACTACCTCTAAATGTCCACATTCAGCAGCAAAATGCATTGCTGTAGCACCACAGTGGGCAGTCGAGTCAGGGTTTGCTCCTTTTTCGAGTAAATAACGCACAACTTCACAATGTCCTTTGTAACTTGTTATCATGAGACAAGTATTATTATACTTGTTTGGTATAGAAATATCTGCACCATTTTCAACTAAACACTGAACAACATCAAGTCGACCGTCGAAACACGCCGCACGAAGTGGTGTTGAATTCGTTTTCGTGGCATGATTGACATCTGCTCCGTGCTCTAGCAAGAGCTTTACGATGCCAAGATGACCGGCGCCTGCCGCGCACCATAGCGCAGTTGCGCCTTCTAACACAAAGCCATCAAACTTTACAGTCCCTGTCTGTTCGAGATTTATCTTAAACTTTGAAAGTAAAACCGAAACCACTTTCTCCTCGCCGTTCCTAGAGGCTATGATAATGGGTGTTGTTATTTGTCCGTTTTCACTCGTGTGGCAATGAAGCACTTCATCTACAAGTTTCTGATTAAGATTCCATAACACAGCAAATAAACTAATAGCTCTTCCATCTCTTGCAGCGGCATAAACTTTCTGCTTTAGTACATTTATATCCTCTACCGAGTTTTCGTGTGAAGACATTTCACAAAGCGGAAGTAGGTTTGTTTTCAGTAGGTCGTACATATATTGAGTCGAATAAATAGCTATGAGTACAAATAATGAAATAAACCACATTATCAAAATAAATTTATAAAGTAAAACCTATTATGCATTCAAGTACAATTTTATGATAAAAAAACAACTGGCATTTAAATTGGTAAAAAAAAAAAATTCATACTTGATATGAACTGTGTCCTTCTCACTCCCTTTTTTTCTTTAAAAATTACACCATAAAACGTTTTGGGCATGTGCAATTAATGAGTATCATATAAACATTTATAAATATACACAATATAAACTAGAGAAATTTGATTTTTGTACAATTCTATTGGCATTTCAACCATAACCATCTCATTTTCCACGCTTTTTTTTATGTTACAATGTATATGCCCGAAAGCTTCTTATAATAAACAGATCTAGAAAACAATGACAACAAAAATATCCTATTACGGCACACGTCTGTCATTACAACTGGGTGAGGTAACCCAAAGTAGACAAGGCTTTGTTTGTTGAAAAAAAAGTTATCGGAGCATCTTGAAATTTTAAGTCAAAATTAACCTTGACAGAATGAGAGGCGCTTAAATATCGACTCTTACAATAATCACAAAAGAAGATTATCAAAGAAACTCCTATTATATATGTTTAGAATGGACGAAAAAAAATCAATTACATGAAATAATAAAGCTCTATTTAAAATATATTTATTATTTCATTAGTGAATTTTCTGCCATCACTTGTCAGATTTTTATGATGACTTGTCAGATCTTTTTGTTGATTTGTCACTTGTTCACCTGTTTAGAAATGCAACATGTCCATGCCCATGTGTCATCTAGTTGACAACATATTTTTCTGACAGGTCGACAATTGGATATGACAAGTCATCATAATCATCTAACAAGTCGACATAACTTTCTAGCAAGTTGTCGTAATTATCTGAAAAGTCGACATAAATATCTGGTAAGTCGACATACTAGTAACATCTGACAAATTAACAAAATTTTTCTAACAAGTTGACATAACATCTGACAAGTCGACTTCAGAAAACTATATCACTTGTCTGATAATTGACAACATGTCAGAAACTATGTCTATATGACGACTTGTCAGATAATCATGTTCACTTATCAGAAAATTAAGTCTACTCGTCAGAAAATTATGTCGATTTGTCAGAAAATTAAGTTTACTTCTTGGATACTTATGCATGTCGACTTCTCAGATTTTACATAATGATTGTATTATGGGAAGTAAATGTCACTTAGTGGCATTAACCTCTTTGACACGGAAACGTATTGATTCGTGTTGTTGCTTTAAAAATCCACATATATTAAAAAAAAATATTGTCAAATACAATACTTCAAAGTTTGGCAATTTATTTATAACAATAATCTCTAATGAATGACACTTTTTTGACAAAATTATACACGTTAATCTGTGTCGCATTAAAAATATAAATTATGCCTCTAAAATAAGATATCGCAGACTTATTGCAACATATTATCATATATGATGACTTCACGTAGACGACTTATTTAATTCCACCAAATTTGAAAGAGTAAACACATTTGTCAATATAATGTAATGTATTATTTTGTTAAAAACATTCTGATTGTACACACAAGTACTCTGAAGTTGATAATGAAAAGATGCTTGAGTGTCTTATTGACAATTTCTAAGTGGTTTTTGGAGACCAGGTCTTCCAACAATCGGTTGGAAATCCCATGGGCACCAATTGCGCCCCTTTATTAGCAGACCTATTTTTGTATTCATATTAATTAATTAATTTATTTATTCAAAAATCTTATATATAGATGAAGAAAACACTTGCTGTGGCCTTTAACTCCAGATATAGATATATCGAATCGATATATCCCAGTTAGCTTGAAATAAAAGGTACTACAGAGCCTGCCACATTTGTTTCATATTTGGATATTTTACTGGAAAAAGACGTTAATGGTAACATAACAACTAAGCTTTACGATAAACGTAATGACTTTAACTTTTCAATTGTCAACTTCCCTTACTTATGCAGCAATATACCAATATCACCTGCATACGGGGTTTATATCTCTCAGTTGATTCGATACGCAATTTAAGAGCATGCTCTACGTAAGAACAATTATTATAACGAGGTAAGTTATTGACAAACAAGTTTATGAAACAAGAATATCACCAGTCTCCCTTAAAGTCACCATTTCGCAAGTTTTATGGTCGATACAATGACATTGTCAGCAAATACAATCTATCATTAACTAAAATCAAATGCTAACTGATGTTTTTCATACTAATTGCTAGACCATTTAGTTACACGCTGAATTGGCTACGGGTTTTCCCGTTATTTCCCGTTCATGACAAGGAGCACAAGGCGGGTGTGACCGGTCGGCAGGGGATGCTGACTTCTCCATGGCACCTGATCCCATGTTTGCTCTGCTCTTGTTTTGTATTGTTTAATGGACTTTTGAGCTTGAATAGTGTTCGTTATCTCCATATATTTCATTGAATCGATGTCTGATAAAAAAAATTAACAAGATGTGTTTGTGAAACACAGATACCCCCGTATGGCAGCTTATGGCGAAGGTTAAAGTTTCTCAAATGCAAGTCGAAATCGCGGTCAAGAGATCAAAAATGTTGGTACCCAAAGAAAGGTCTTGTCTCGAGGAAAATACCTGTGAAATTTGATTGCCCTAGCTCCAACTGTTCAAAATATATAGGGAAGGTTAAAGTTTTTAGTAAAGTAAGTAAAACGTCAAGGTCAAGGTCAAATGGATCCAAAAGGGAAGGTCTTGTCAAAAGTGATACACATGTTCGTGAAATGTGAAAGCCCTAGAACCAAATGTTCACATGTTATGGCCAAGGTTAAAGTTTTTTAAACGTAGGTCAAACTCCAAGGTCAAGGTCAATGCCAAGTTGTTGGAATCCAAAGGAAAGTCTTGTCCCAATGTACCCATGTACATGTGAAATATGAAAGCCGTAGCACCAAATGTTCAAAAGGTATGGCAGAGATTTAAGATTTTCAAAAGTAGATCAAACTCCAAGGTCAAAGGTCAAAATTGTTGGTATTTAAAAAAAAAGGTCTTGTCTCCAGAATTACATACGTGAAGTATGAAAGCCCTAGCACCAACCGTTCAAAAGTTATGGCCAAGGTTAACGTTTTTCAAAAGTAGATCAAAATCCTAGGTCAAGGTCAAAGTAGTTGGTTTCCAAAGAAAGGTCTTGTCAACAGGATTACATATGTGAAGTATGAGAGCCCTAGCACCAACCGTTCAAAAGTTATGGCGAAGGTTAAAGTTTTTCAAAAGTAGGTCAAACTTTTAGGTCAAGGTCAAAGTGGTTGGTTTCCAAAGAAAGGCCTTGTCACAAGGAATACATGTGTGAAGTTTGAAACCCCAAGCACAAACCATTCCAAAGTTATGGCCAAGGTTAAAGTTTTTTAAAAGTAGGTCAAACTCAAACGTCAAGGACAAAAGGTCAAAGTTGTTGGTATTCAAAGAAAAAATTTGTCACAAGGAATACACATGTGAAGTTTGAAACCCCAAGCACCAACTGTTCAAAAGTTATGGCCAAGGTTAAAGTCTCATAAAATTTCGCAAAAGTGGGTAAAACTCGAAGGTCAAGGTCAAAAGGTCAAATATGATGGTACCCAAAGAAAGTACTTGTCACAAGGAATACACATGTGAAATATGAAAGTCATAGCTCCTACCAATCAAAAGTTATGGGCAAGGTTAAAGTTTTTGCAGACAAACAGACAGACAGACGAACAGGGCAAAAATTATATACCCCCGAATCTTATATACGGGGGCATAAAAAAGCTAGGGGTGGGGGTATATAGGGCACCAAACGTTGTTTTTTTTTTCTACATTGATAATTACACAAAACAAAAAAAATATTATTATAATATATGAGATTTCATGCTTTTGATAATTGACATTTTTATGCCCCCGTAACGAAGATTCGGAAGTGTATAGGTTTTGCCCTGCCCTTCCGTCGTTCTGTTTGTCCGCAAAAATTTTATCCTTGCCCATAACTTTTGATTGGTTGAAGTGATGGCTTTCATATTTCACAGGTAAATTTCTTGTGACAAGACCTTTCTTTGGACACCATCATATTTGACCTACCTTGGAGTTTGACCCAGCTTTGCAAAATTTTATACAACTTTAACCTTGGCCATAACTTTTGGTGCTGGGGCTTTCATAATTCACACGTTTAATTCTTGTGACAAGACCTTCCTTTGGATACCAACAACTTTGACCTTTTGACCTTGACCTAGGAGTTTGACCTACGTATGAAAAAAAGTAATCTTGGTTATAACTTTTGAATGGTTGGTGCTAGGGCTTTCATACTTCACATATATAATCCTGCAGACAAGACCTTTCTTTGGATTCCAACAACTTTGACCTTGGAGTTTGACCTACTTTTGGAAATCGTTAACCTTGGTCATAAATTTTGAACGGTTGGTACTAGGGCTTTCACACTTCACATATGTAATTCTGGTGACAAGACCTTCTTTTGGATACCAAAAACTCTGACCGTTTGACCTTGGAGTTTGACCTACTTTTGAAAACTTTGACCTTATAAGAACTTTTGAACATTTGGTGCTAGGGCTTTTATATTTATCATGTCTATTCCTTGTGACAAGACCTTCCTTTGGATACTAACAATTGTAATCCATTGACCTTGCCCTTAGAGTTTGATCTACTTTTGAAAACTTTGACCTTATACAGAACTTCTTAACATTTGGTGCTATGGCTTTCATATTTAATATGTCTATTCCTTGCGACAAGACCTTCCCTTGGATACTAACAATTGTAATCCATTGACCTTGACCTTGGAGTTTGACCTACTTTTGAAAAACTTTAACCTTGGTCATAACTTTTGAACGATTGGTTCTTCAGCTTTCATATTTCACCTGTGTATTTCTTAGGGAAAGGCCTTTCCTTGGGCATCATTAATTTTGACCATTTGACCTTGATGTTTGACATACTTTCGAAAAACTTTAATCTTTTCCATATCTATTCAATGATTGCTGCTAGGACTTTCATATTTCACTGGTATATTCCTCGAGACACGACCTTACTTTGGGTACCAACATATTTGATTTGCATTTGAGAAAGTTTAACCTTTGCTATAAGTTGCCATACAGGGACATCAGTGTTTCACAAACACATCTTGTTCTTTCTATAAATAAACAAAAATTAATGTATAAATTATAAATAAGTGTTACATTAAAGTTTTAGAATTCAGAGAATTTAAAACTAACTATTGTTATAGTTAGTTTTAAATTCTCTTAATTCTAAAACTTTAATGTAACATAAGTACATGTATTATATACTTGAAAATCAATGAACTATGTACGGCAAATGCATATGCCTGCCCCCATAAACGTCAAATTTCGAAAAGCCTCACGAAATATACACGATTGAATACTCTGTATGAAATTACTAAATTTGAATTAACAAAATACATCATTGCATGGGGAAAAATTGGAATTTGTTTCTGTGACGTCACAAACTATTGCGATTGGCTGCAACATGTATCTATATATAAAAAAAGGACAATATGCACACATTTTGTTCAATTTAACTTTAGTTTTTATAGAGTGCAGTCTTACTCAGAAACTGTTTTCAAATATTCCATTGATATTATCATTCTACACATTATATTAAAAGAGGGAGTACGAGCAGGCCTGCGCTCCATATTTTCCAAATTATCAATGAAAGTAACATTTAATGTACAGCATTTTTTTTTTGAAATGCATTGAATTCACATCATCTTTGACGTCATATGTAACATAAGTCATTACTATGGATGAAAATGTTTCATGTGTGATGATGTCTGCATAATTATATTCTCCTGGTTTAGAACATAATTTTTCAGATTTTTTGGTAATCATTATACATGTATTTACTGGGGGGGGGGGGGGGGGGGGGGTCTATGCATCAAAATTGATACTGTATAAGATTTACTTTAAACTATGAGAATTTACTTTTTTCATCAGACATTGAATTTTTTATCTTACTAATTAGGAAGACAAACTTGAGTTAACATTCCCTGTTAACAGGCAAAAAATTATCAAACCATTGAATCCTTAGAAATTGCATTACATCGACATTATTCGCACAATACATAATTGTGAGAATATTTCTATGCAATTTTTTTTGCGACAAATAATATTACGAAAAAATCATCCTGGTTTGATCAAAGTCAACAGAGCTTAAAAAGGCGGTTATATCATCCAAAGTATTTCGCATTTTTTTTTTGTCTTTGTATAAGTCGATATAATTTTGACGTTATAAACCGGCATTTCATTAGAAGATGACGCTAATTTTATTTTGCCATATTAACACAACAACACGATCGAGGAGGTTATACGTTTCCGTACTAAAAGATACTGAGTTCCTAGGACTTCTTGATCGATTATTATCTGACAAGTCGACATAAATATCTGACAAGTCGACATAAACAACTTAATTAATGACAATTTGACATTTACTAACATCTGACAAGTGGATCGTCACGGTCTGACAAGTGGATCGTCATGGGTTCAAAACCCGGCCTCGACTGACCTAAGTCGATAAAATAAATTGATAACAGTTCCTTGGCCAAGCGCTTGGTACTAAGAAATGAAAGTTGCAGGTCTTTCGGATGAGAGCTTAAAAAGAGAGACCCCGTGTCTCGGCAGGCGTTGGCAAGATATATTTAAAGATCCCTCACTGCTCAATTGCACTGAGTACCGAGTAAAGGTATAAATTTGAAGTCCTTCACCGATATATAGAGATTCCTCACTGCTCAAAGGCCTTAGTGTCGAGTAAAGTCCTTCACTGGTATGGTGACGTCTCTGTATGAGCGAAAAGTTCTCCAGCGGGACGTAAAACAATATACAATCAATCTGACAAATGGCAGAAATATGCCACTAGAATCAAGCCTCAAAACCTTGTAATTTTTTTTGTTTCTTAAAGCAAATGGCGTTTTCCATAGTCAATACTGAGAGTATCATGTCAGGAAATGTCCTTTTCTCACAATATTAAATTCATAGGTCAAACATTCTATACGTTCCATAGCTGGGAATGGATCCAATTATCAACTTCAGTGGAACGGTTAAATGAAAAGCTGGTCCTGCAGGGTCTATCACCAACTGAAAAAAAAGACATACGTGAAACATACTATACACGTAGTACAACTGTACTACTATTACTTTAAAATTTTCAGCTTTCAAAATTAAAGGACTTTTTCTATGAAATTTCTATCAAAGCAAACTTCAGTCGTAATTATTTGTTTGTCCATATTTACATTATTATCACAACAGTAAAATTAATATACCTTCAAGTAGTGATCAATGGTTATAAGCTTGCACCCCTCGAGACATGGCGGGGGTACGGAAGGTACATCAAATTCCTCGTCATCCCAGGTCTGGATTTCTCCGGGCATTACATCTTCATATTGGGATTTCTTAATTTCACTAACACACACTTTCTTTTCCCCTTTGGCATGATAAATAGTCTCCTTAGAAATAATTCAAAAATACAGTTTTTTAAATGTCATTGTAAATAATAAAAACGAGCTATCTTATTTCATTTTATATCTTCTCTTGTTAGTGTTTCCAGTTTAAATTTACCAATTCAGAACTTCTTCCAGATAATGGATACATTCTCCCAAACAAAATATCTAATATTGTGATGGAACAAACCTTTAAAAAGACAACAGATACCCCACAAACTCGGCGTGAACGGTTTTGGATGGTGATATCAAATACCACAGGTTCCCCCGAGACGTAGCCAGTTTTGGAAGTTCTTAGAATCCCTGTGATAGGTCCTGATTTACAGCACCAACAACATACGTACTTGAAATTCTGAATTTCTATTGATGCCTACGAAAGATAATTTTAATACTCATGGGCTTTCATTTAAAGTGAACCAGATCCAATACAGTTTAAATTACATACAATTCGCTGAAGTTTCGACAGTTAACAATTTTCATTGTGACTAGGCGGGATCATCTAAATCTAATTTGCATTAATTGGTGTTAGACAGTTACGGGTTTGACCAAATTAATTAAAAAAAAAAAATTGACTTTAAAATTTTTTCATCTTTATGCATAGAAGCCAGCGCAGGATACGTCATAATACATGTAGTTCCTTAACCGACATTAGTAATTTTACAATATAAAAGTTTAGTAAAAATGCACACAGTAAAAAGATGTCGTGGGTCTATCAAAATATTGCCCTGGAACCCAATCAATAAAATGTATATTCACATAGAATATTTAATGAAAATATCACCCAATCAGTGTACCTCAGCTCCTGGGTACCTATTGAGGTCCACGTCGCTGACGACTTTGAATTCCTTTCGAATGATTTGATCTGTAGACCAAAAATCTAGATCTAAAATGGCCGACACCTCATACACAATGTTTCCAAATTTATCATTATAGGAAGATGGTAGCATGGGTGGCAGTGTAAAGGAAAAATGGAAGATATGTCGACCTTGAGGAAGCCACTCTCCTGTTTCAGCAACTGAAATTGATACATGTAATACTACTCAAGAATAAGATAAATTGCAAGGTAGAAAAAACAAGACAATAGCTATGATACGGAAGCGTATTAGGGCCGCAGCAGTATTTTTTATTAATTTGTTAAAACAAATTGATAATTTGTTATAACAAATTGATAATTTGTTATAACAAATTGATAATTTGTTATAACAAATTAGTAATTTGTTATAACAAATTACTAATTTGTTATAACAAATTAATAATTTGTTATAACAAATTAATAGTTTGTTATAACAAATTAATAATTTGTTAAAACAAATTACTAATTTGTTATAACAAATTGATAATTTGTTATAACAAATTAGTAATTTGTTATAACAAATTAGTAATTTGTTATAACAAATTAATAGTTTGTTATAACAAATTAATAATTTGTTAAAACAAATTAATAATTTGTTATAACAAATTGATAATTTGTTATAACAAATTAGTAATTTGTTATAACAAATTACTAATTTGTTATAACAAATTAATAAAAAATACTGCTGCGGCCCTAATACGCTTCCGTACTATGAAGTCTTAATTCATTTTGGATAGTATACTTTGTTTGAATAAAGAATAAAGACTTCTGGATTCTTTGAAAATTATTTTCTATTTCGTCATTTCTAATTATTACCTTACAAAGAAATAATACTTGTGCATCACAATATATAAATATTGCATGTAGTTGAGTGTCACACTGAAAATTTCATCCAAGAAAACCATTGTCAACCGAGGCGCAGCTGTATATATATATATATATATATATATATATATATATATATATATATATATATATATATATATATATATATATATATATATATATATATATATATATATATTCCTACCTCCCTCCTGGGTCTGAAACCCCAAAGGCGGCAATTCCAAACATTCTTTTTAGGGATGGCCTAATTTACATGAAAGAATAATATTTCCGTTTAGTGTACATTCTCAAACAGGTGTTTGGGGGATTGTACCACCGTTCACCTCTCCAACCCCCCAAAAATGTTTTACTTACATGTATGTTCATAATTTATTTTTCTGACTTATTTACGAAATATTCAAATCGAAAAAGTTCACGACTGTGCATGGAGAATGGTCCTCAGGATCTCAGGTTAGTTTGTCATCTCGCGTATTTAGTAATATACTACATGTATACGAACTCTTCGGTATTAGAGCCACACAAGATCAATATGGAGAATGGAGACCACCTAATATTTTAAATCAAAATGGAAACCACAGACTCCAAAGTCAAAGTTTTTATTTTGAAAAGATTGATTTTTATTTAAGGAAAACATTTTATTAAAATGCATAGTATTTACATTTTGTCCTCTTCCCGATTCATTTCAAAAGTTAAAGTATTTTTAAATTATGGTTTTAAGTCTCTTTTCAGTTTATGGTCTTTGGGCTTGGTTTCTTTATAAATATATCATTAGGTGACGTAAAATAAGAACAAAACAATAGGTGACTCTGGTTTCCGCCACATTATGTTTCTGTAATGATGATCTGATCTACCATATTAGGTGACCTAGCTCTGGTTTCCTTGCAGATTTCTGGTTTAGGTGACAAGTAGTCTCCATATTTTATATACCGTATTAGGTGAATTAGGTATTAAGCTCCCGACTTTAGAAATGAAATCACGGGTCTTTCGGATGAGACCGGCTTTAAAAAGGTTCTGTGTCGCTGAAAGAATTGGCACGAACCATACCTGTTCCATGTCCCTGATTATGAATGACAAGTGAAGTTCTATATTAACTGTTGTTTAGTGACGTCTTATATAAATGAAAAAATCTCGCAAATGATGTAAAACAACAATCAATCACAATAGGCGGCTTCTAGTCTCCATGTTGATATTCTCAGTTACCTCTGATCTCCGTATTCATGTTCCAAACTAGATGACCTCTGGTCTCCTAACAAAGATTGACGTCTAGGCAGCTGAAATGCAGTCCCCATATTCATATGCCACATTTCGTGACCTCTTGTCTCCGTATTGTTATTATCTGATCTCCGTATTGATATAAATCGATAGGATACTTCTGGTTTTCGTATTCATATGTCACACTAGAAGACCCCAGATCCCCTTACAAAGACTAACTTTTAAGGTAGCTGACATGCAGTTCCCGTACGTACCACAAAAGGTGACATCTGGTCTTCGTATTGATATAACACAATATTATACTTTCAGGTAAATTACTTGAAAATCATTCGTCGAGAAACATTTTTATTTAAAAACATAGTTACCCTCTGAATGATGAAACCACGCCCTCCAACGCGATAAATTACGTATAACGGATAATTTCTGCGGTAGAAAATTTTTGCGTTTGGCCTTTGAAATTTAGCATTAGTTTCTGAGATTTCAATTTTCTGCGGTTGCATTATACTACAAAATATAATCTCTAGAAAATGACTAACGGGCGTGTAAAATTTCATAGTACACTGCAACGTTTTATTTTGAAGTTTGACATGACGTGATCAGGGCGAATGAGAAGCTCTTCTGCTCGTCTGTCTTTCAGTTAGTTTTAATTAGTGCATTGTTTTCAAATAACATTTATACCTTACCCTACAACGTAAGTATAAAAAAGTGTTATATATACACATGTATACAATTATCAGCTATAAATTCACGGGTTAATTCAGACAAAACACTACCTTGACGTACGCGCAACTGACAGCGGTTCCGGATAAATGAAAAAGCATTTAAAAAAAGATCTCATATTCTAAGAATATTTAGCAATTGTAGCTTTTGTGGATGTGTCCTATCCGCTAAATACCGCAAAAATTGGACAACCGCAGAAAATACCCGGTACATGTATTCAGTATTTCTTTACCTGATACTTTTTTTTAAGTTTTATGGTACTGACATCACGAAAAACTTAAATGCACTTTGAATATCTGTGTCTTAAGGCTTTCCTCAATCAAAATACTTTCTTGGTTTTCAATGTATGCAGAAAAAGACGGTAGAATTCAAAATTAACACCTTTGCCATAAAGCGCAAGAACACTCCTAAAATAGTTTTCCTCCCCGTTGAAGTGTATAGTTTCTGTTTTCTGCTTTTGTCCCGGCCCCCCTGACTGTATTTTCCGAGTCCAGTGAACCTCTCCCCAGCCAACACATTTCATTTGTATCTCTACATAGAAAGAATTGTTAGAAAGAAAACCATTCAACATTTTTCATGATTTGCTGCTTCAGAACAGGACCTTTTCAAGTATCACTGAAGTTAAGTAACACAGAGAATGATAAATTTACTTTTTACCAATACCTATCGTATTTCAAATTACACATGTACGTGCTACATTCTGAAGATGTTTATAATATTAATTTGTAAAGTGCTTGAATTTTGTAAATATATCATAATCTCCTTGTATGGGTAGGCTTCCTTTCGCATAAAATACGTATAAAGTTATTTCATTATTAATATTTTAAGTTATGAAATTAAACACAAATTAAACATAAATAAAGGTTTTAGTTGTAAAGTGTTTTGTAAGTGGTTCAATTGGAATTTCACATACATATGTGTGTTTGTATGATCATTAAATATATATCATTTTTTAATGGAAGACAATTTTTCATTAAATCACAATAATTCACGACTTACCATAAACTATATCATTAGTAAAGAAAATCCAAACATGCGACTTAAGGTTCATAAACCCTCTGCTCACTCGAATAAAATGTTGCTTAAACTTTAATGATTTTCCAAAAGAAATGTATTTTAGAAGAAAGATACAAACAATTATAGCATAGCTTGCGGGGCAAACTTGGACAAAAAATACGTTTCAACTTGACAAATTTATAAAGGAATAATAGTCATTTATGTCATTAAAAGTTATCTCTCTTATCAGAGTATCATTGAACATTAAAATCTATGAATGGTCCATTGAGAATTATATAGTATATAATAATTACCCCTGACGTTTATTCCCATGTCCAGTTCTACGATAAGTCGCCCAGTCACATTCTGTCCCGGTTTGTATACAGCCCGTAATTCATCAAACTCTATCTTGTACACTTGCAACTTTCCCATCATATAGAATTGAATAAATTGCGTGTTCTATAAATAAAGCAAATTGAGCAAATAATAAACAATAAATATATCACAAATGCTGAAATTTTGGAGAAGTTAAGAATTATTTTAAAACTGGAGAATAAATTTTGACGTCAGTCTTGCCCCTGTACTGCTGACATAAATAATCAAAATAATACAATCGTTGCTAAATGAGACAGTTCAGCGAGATCATTCTTGTTCTTCTTGTATGTTGAAACCTGCTGTTTTAGTTATGTGAATCTTCCGATCCTTAAAAAAGTTTGAGGACACGAAGTGTACCAAAATCAAGGTAGTTGAATTGTGTATGGAGTTTTAAGTGTTTTCTATTAAAATTTCAGTTGCGAAAATAGGGTATTTATAAAAGTCAAAAACATATTTCAGTAAAAATAAATAAAATAAAATCTCTGTTAATCGTGCATTGCTATAAGCCAAAACAAATGTTATAGTGTATACAGGGTTATTTTCGCCCTCTCGCACAATTTTGCCCCGTTTTAAATTCGCCCAGTTACAGGTCTGTTTAAGAAATTATATTGTGTTCTTTGAATTCGCCCCATTTTAAAATCGTTCACCTGTGATTAGGGCGAAACGGTGACGAATATTTCCCTGTACACAGTACATATAGATGTAAATTTATTTACTTACTTCTTCCATTCAAGAAAATATGTTTAATGAATTAAAAACAAAAGAATTCTGTAAGACAGGCCAGCACAAAATACCGAATATACTACATGTAATTAATACAATTATTGATGTTTTTGAGGTCAACACGATGATTTAGCCACCTGAGGAGTAAATATTCACCGAGTCCAAAAAGGGGGGGGGGGGTTGTGTTTTAAGGGTGGCTAAATCTTTCTTGATTGTTTACATTTACTGTTGAGGTCCTAATCGAACGCAGTAAGAGAAATGGGAGTAACATAATCGTAACAAGTTGTACATTTGAACTATTTTTGGTGCGATGTAGAAAAAAATGTTATGTTCACCTGGGAGGTCTAGTGCAGGTGAACAAAACTTTTTATGACAAATTGTATCAATTTTGAAATTCTTGATCTATTTTCAGTTCAGTGTAGAAAAAAAAATAAATATATTCACCGGAAGGTCTAGTTTGGGTGAATTTAACTTGGTATGATTTCTCAGCACCCAGAAGGCTAGGAATTATTCAATCAAATAATGATACCAATTAAATGAATATTTTTAGCATATACGAATATTTCCCAACAAGTAAGCTTCTTGGTTGGAAGAAGAATCAAATCCACGTGATTGTAGCTGATCACATTTAGACAACTGTCAAATAGAAATAGTATCAAATTGACGTGAACATTAAAAAAAATCATTTGGTAAGTAATCACATGAATACTGTAATTTTTACATACCCGCGCAAAGATTCACTAAATATGAAACGATTATAGCAATAAAGCTTTAAAGTCACCAGACGGATATAAATGTTTTCTTGGGAAAACTCACCTGTTTTTGTCTGATACAAATGGAAGTCACATTTAAAATTCAGTGGCCATTACCCAGAATCCACGTTACCTTACCATTTTGATCAATACATATAACTTTTCATGTTGATGTTTTAGCACTTTATTCACATCCTGCTATTGATTAACTCCAAGTTCAGGAAAAACCTTCATTATACATCAAAATCCAAACAAACGTGTATGTCTTAAAAGGGTATGAAAATTAATGTCATAATCAGGAGAACAGATTTTTTTTTCAAAACATAAAAATACCCATATATATATATATATATATATATATATATATATATATATATATATATATATATATATATATATATATATATATATATATATATATATATATATATATATATATATATATATATATGGGTGGGTGCACGTGGATGTTAGAAATTCTTTTGTCTTAAATAATACTTGACCTTTGTTTCTCAGTTTCTGTAATACCTATAACTAAATAAATTCTCAGATATTCAAATACATCTTAATGCATATATTCGAGTGTCTCAATGTTTACATAAACAGTGTCTGTTACAGTAGCAGCGAAATATCATTTTCAGAATAATATTAATCATTTAGCTCGAGGTAATCTAGTTTTATTAAGGTTCATTGATACTCTGATAAGAGAGATAACTCATAATGACATAAATGTCTATTCCTTTATTTAAAATTTGTCAAGTTGAAATGTCTTTATTGTCCAAATTTGCCCCGCAAGCCATGATACAATTGTTTGTATTTTACTTATAAATTACATTTCTTTTGAAAAATAATGAGCGTTAAAGCAACATTTTATATGAGTGAGCAGAGGGTTACTGAACCTTAAAGGAGATTAGTTCTAACATCTAATATAATTAAAACAACTCAGTCACTTGCATGACATCGTAAGTCAATAAATCTCTACTTCAAAAAGAGGGGAGACAGCAACAATAAAAATATTTACACTAGAAGAACAACATTCAAGTAAAAATACAAAATGGAGTATAAAATATATCTCCAAAAATTATGTATCTACCGATTTAAAGAAGACGCCATTTAGAAATTCCATTTTTACCCTTATAATAACCACTGCATTTCTCTCTCCCCCCCCCCCCCCCCCGCCCTTTCCCCTGAACAGACTAAGAATTCTGCTTTTTTGGGGTTTACTATGAATCATTTTTTCAAAACGATGTATTTCATAATATGAAAAGTTTGAACAAAAACTCTGAAACAATCATTCTATAAAAATATATGCAGAATGTACACATGGAAAGCAAGATGAACAATACATATATACTTACCAAATGATATTCCAAATAACATTTCACGCTTAAGGTCGTAATTGATTTTTTTGTTGTAAAACATTGTAAAGTACATATGACACCATCAAGAGTATACCCATTTTGCTTTTTGATAGTTTAGTCTGCTATATCATAAATCAACACTAGTACTGCGTATAGTTTTTTTCACACTACCTTTGTATCAAGTTAAGGCATGTTATGATTTTCTGTAATGTTATTGTGACCAGACTATGATTAACAATTTATTTTTAAAAATTTAAACGGACTTGTTTATATAGCACACAATAAAGAAAAATTAAAAATATAACAGAAAGACAATCATAAACTGAATGGATTTGAATTCTCAATATGTACTTTACTTTCTCTTCAAAGCAGAGGGATACCCCTTGATGTTCACGTGTAACCAACTACGGCTTGTAAAACCAGTGGGAGTAAATTTCAGTTGTCCATACATCTGTTCGATTTCTCTTAAAGCAGAGGAACACCCCTTGATGTTCATGTATAACCAACTACGGATTGTAAAACCAGTATCTAGGAGTAAATTCCAGTTGTCCATATATCTGCCCATTCTCTTCCCCCTCGTCCCTTTCGATGTTGGTTGGGCCCCATATCGATTCAGTGAAGCTAGGAGTAGCTGCAGTATAAATTATCTGAACTCAAGAAACAAAGCTCTGGAATGCATATACATGTATGTCTTTTTTTCCAGCAAGACTGCTTATAATTAAAGCACTTAATCAAGGCACATATTATCGGAGGATGGGTGGTAGGGAGGGGGTTGTGGGTGTAGGGTACTTGTCCCCCTCACTTTTTTCAAACATTAGTTTTGACTGTTCAATTAGAATGTTTATGTTCAATTAAAGCCCCCCCCCCCCCCCAACAATTTTTTGTTGCAGCATAGATAATTTTAATTTTTTCCATGGCAAAGTATTTTAAAAAAAATATCTGGTCCAAAAAGTTGAACCAACCACCCCTACCTCAAATTTTTTTTGAGGTAAGTTGTCATTTTTTTTCTGCCCTCCTACGTGCCTGTAACCTGAGGTTTAGATTTTTAGGGTATCACAACAACATTGAACAAGAGGCCCGAGGGCCTTAACAGTCACCTGAGTATAATACAACACTGTAAAGGATCCTTAAAAGTATAAAACAAAATAAACTTATTGATGAAGCAATTTTGCTGAAAATTTAAAAAATCTGGTAAAAATACCCTTGCTTATTGTAATGTGCGAGACCCGAGTGATCTTTTTGTGATTGTACTTGGTTTTTCGAAGTCTTACAGGGATGATAATGATTGCTGAATGTACAAAATCAATGGAAACTTGCCAAGTGTGTAAGGTATTCAATATATACATATATGTTTTTTGTAACCAGCTTAGTGCTACAATTAAGTACACAAAGAGAGACTTGGCTATACAATGTGGCTAGTTACCACTTGTCCCTAACTACAACATGTCCCAAACTCACCCTGGCTCTTTGTGATCACTTGTCCACTTTGATAAAATATAAAACAACTTTTTGCAGTCTCTTGCCAACCATGACTACCTGTCAATAACTCGTGAAAAAAGACACCACAGTTAATCGACTCTATTGCTACATAAATAATCTTTATGTCAAGTTTTATAGCGCTTTACAGACAAGAATCTTACTTTGAGCACGCTTTGCTCATTAGAACCAAACATTCTTTTTTTTGTTTCTATATATATAATATTCTTTCTTGTATTCTCATTCAATCAAATAACCTGTAAATTAAATTATACACAAGCATTTCTTGATTAAAGAGACACCGTGACGGAAAAACGGGAAATTTGACAAAAGCAGAATTTTTGCAAGACACATGCAAATTTTATTCAATTCTTGAAAGTATCAGGTTTAAGAAAATTACAGGTTTCAGAACCTAAAAAATCTACTTTTATGGAGAAAAATATAAGAAAAAATAATTTTAGTTTGCCCCAACACGAAAATATTGCTTCACTTCTTCCTCTTTAAGGGTGCATGCGCAGAAAAGTTGAAGAAGTAACCATGGTGTCAATTCCATAGATATAAATGTCGGATGACCGAGGATTTTGATATAATCTTCAAAAAAGATGATCAGAACTTATTCCTAACTTTTGATTGCTCCGATTCAATGTTGTTTACAAGTTTCACGCTAAAAATAAAAGACACATGACCTTGACATTGACGATTATCTTAACAACCACGCCATAGATACAACTTTTCTTTTTCCGGCACTTACATTTTGCAGTCTTCTCTTGCTTTTACCGTGCAGTTGAGATCTCAAAACTTTGCTTTATTCACATTTCTCATAAACCGTTAGCTTTATGATACAATTATCTTAAAAGAAACACATGATATTGACTCATTTTGTAGCTTTAAACTAATTTAGCAAAGAGGAGCAACTCTCATTTGCTTCACTTATTTCAATTTTGTACTCTGTTTGCCTCCTAGATACCAAGATGGGAAAAGGCAAATTTGCGTATAATTATATTTCTATATTTACTTTTATATTATTGGATTAAGGTTATTTGCTTAATACACAGGAATAGAGGAGAAGATTTTAAAAGCATTATGCATTTTCCCTATATAATCACTAGAGCCCCGCCGTAAAACCAGACCCAGGCGCCATGAAATTCACAATCTTGGAAGAGGCACCCTTGTTCATCATAACTCTGAATTTAGTTTGTTTGCTCAATACAACGGAGCAAAGGAGTATATTTTCAAAGCGTTAATTCATTTTCAGTATATAATAGATAAGCCCCACTCCCAACGGAACCCCTGACCCTGGGGCCATATCATTCATAATTTTGAAGAGGCCCCCTTCCTCATCATAACCATGCATCGGCTAAATACACAGGAACCAAGGAGGAAATTTTCAAAGAATTAATGCATTTTCACTGTATTATCATTAAAACCCTGCCTTAACACCAGAACTATTAACCCAGGGGTCATGAAATTCACAATTTTGGGAGAGGCACCCTTGCTCATCAAAACTATAAACTTAGTTCATCTGTTAAATAATCAGAAGCAGAGGAGAAGATTTTCAGAGCATTAATGCATTTTCACAATATAATCATTAGAGCCCAGCCCTAACATCAGAACCCCTGACCCAGGGGCCATGAAATTCACAATTTTGAAAGAGGCACCCTTGTTCATCATAACTATGTACTAAATTAGTTTGTTTAATTTCCAGGAGAAGAGAAGAATTAAGACATAATGCACTTTCACTATATGATCTATATATCCCCATCCTAGCACCAGAACCCCTGACCCTAGTGCCATTAATTTCATTATTGTGGTAGAGGCCTCAATGCTTATTAATATCATGCCACCAGTTAGATTACTTGATGTCCAGGAGTAAAGAAGAAGATTTTTAAAGATTGCATTAGTTTTGGTGGTTCAAGCCCCATCTCTCAAGCCCCAGGGTGTCAGGGACCATGAAATTCACGAATTTTGATCCCCTTTACCCATAGATGCTTAAATTGGTTGACACTGGTTCAGCGGTTTTAAAGAAGAAGCTGAAAATTTTCCAATGTTAACGCACGACGAACGCCGACGGACAAAAAAAGGATAGTCAAAACAAACAAAAAAAAAAAAAAACAAAAAAAAACAAGATGTGTTTGTGAAACACTGATGCCCTCGAATGGCAGCTTATGGCGAAGGTTAAAGTTTCTCAAATGAAAGTCAAAATCCAGGCCAAAAGATAAAAAATGTTGGTACCCAAAGAAAGGTCTTGTCTCGAGGAATATACCTAAGAAATTTAAAAGACCTAGCTGCAACTGTTCAAAAGTTATGGCGAAGGTTAAAGTTTTTAAAATAAGTAAAACGTTAAGGTCAAGGTCAAAGTGCTTGGAATCCAAAGGAAGGTCTTGTCACAAGGATTACATATGTGAAGTATGAAAGCCCTAGCACCAACCATTCAAAAGTTATGACCAAGGTTAAAGTTTTTTGAAAGTAGGTCAAACTCCTATGTCAAGGTCAAAGGGTCAAAGTGGTTGGTATCCAAAGGAAGGTCTTGTCACAAGGATTACATATGTGAAGTATGAAAGCCCTAGCACTTACCATTCAAAAGTTATGGCCAAGGTTAAAGTTTTGCAAAAGTGGGTCAAACTCCTAGGTCAAGGTGAAAAGGTCAAAGTAGTTGGTATCCAAGAAAAGGTCTTGTCACAAGGATTACATATGTTAAAGTATGAAAGCCCTAGCTCCAACCATTCAAAAGTTATGGCCAAGGTTAAAGTTTTTCAAAAGTAGGTCAAACTCCTAGGTCAAGGTCAAAGAGTCAAAGAGGTTGATACCCAGAGGAAGGTCTTGTCACAAGGAATACACATGTGAAGTTTGAAACCCCAAGCACCAACTGTTCAAAAGTTATGGCCAAGGTTAAAGTTTTACAAAAATTGGTCAAACTCCAAGATCAAGGTCAAAGTTGTTGGTATCCAAAGGAAGGCCTTGTCACAAAGAATACACATGAGAAGTTTGAAACCCTAAGCACTAACTGTTCAGAAGTTATGACCAAGGTTAAAGTCTCATAAAATTTTGCAAAAGTGGGTCAAACTCCAAGGTCAAGGTCAAAAGGTCAAATATGATGGTACCCAAAGAAAGGTCTTATCACAAGGAATACACATGTGAAATATGAAATCATAGCTCCAACCAATCAAAAGTTATGGGCAAGGTTAAAGTTGACAACAGACAGACAGACATACAAGACAAACAGACAGACAGGACAAAAACAATATACCCCGGGATCTTTCGATCCGGGGGCATAAAAATAGGTGTTCAAGAATAGTGAACATATATAAGGTGTCAATACTTATAAAATTGATATCACATACGCATTAATGGTGGAGCGGATGGCTGAGGTCTGGAATTTGCCTGTTGATATTGCTGTACCACTGACTGTAGTGGAATGGTTCCTATGATTACTTCAGCTGGGATTTGTAAGTTAAACGATGGTCCAGAGGGTTTTATTGAAAGCTAGAGAAGAAGACAATTTGACCATTATCCTGAACTATTTCATCATTATTTTATAGTGATATTTTACAGATGAATATTGTATTACACGCCATAATCTCAGCAAGATCCATAGAGACTAAAAATTTTGGTCTGGTGTCTCTACCGTAGAGACACCAGACCAAAATTTTTAGTCTCTACGGATCTCGCTGAGATTAACACGCCATTGTAACATCACTTTACAATATTAACTCCTGTTTTATTACCGTTACAAAATATTTGACTTTGATGAGAGAGCACCCTCCCAGGTAAGAAGGTGCTAGAGGAGGAATCACAAATCTGTCTTCGCTCCAAACATCTGAGTGACCAGGAGGCAAGTCTAGGTGTTAAATACGGTTGATTAATTTTGTTAATTTTGTTGTTCTTTTCATTTTACTTCTTGGCACACAGGCAGTGTAGAGTGTGACCTATTAAATAATAAATACCTTTCTTTTATTTTAACAGTGAAGATTTTACTAAAACACAATTTTTTGCTGAATGAAATATATTTAACGTGTGCCTTTTCCCATAAACTTTCAGGATAATTATATATTTAACTTTCAACCTCACAACAGCTAATACGTCTATTAAGCACACCAGTTCTGAAAGGCGCTAAATTAATAAAGATTAACGAATTTACAATTATGAAGAGAGAAAATAAGAAAATATAAATATAAACATTAAATTCTTATTTTTTGGATGTCGTCTGTCCTAGACGTGATCATGGTGGACAGACACGTTTTCGATGAGCTCGTGATTTCTTATGATTAGCAGTGTTTTAAGATGTCCATTTCCATTTGAAAAGTGTGGAATTTACAATATAAATGGTACTTGTGTATGCTAGTCACTTTGCATTGTTATTATGGGAGGTTCAAGGAAGAAAAGAAAGAAGTCAAACAGTTCAGACGTCAGTGGCAGTGAGAACAGTTTATCGCCATTGGTCAGTAGCGTTATAAACGAAGTTAACAAAGTTTTGTATGGAGCGCCAGTAGAGACAATCAACACCACTGATCCCTGCGAGCCGGGAACCATAGAATCAGATACTATGACAGATGATATGGCTACATCCACCCCAAAAGCAGCATCGCAGAATCTGACGGAGCTAATCGATGTGTCAACTAAATTCGCAGTGCTTCAGAAACAAACTGAATCAACCAATAAAAAGCTAGACATTATAACAAGTAAGTTATCAAAATTAGACACTATTGAAGCAAAATTAGTAGAAATGGAGAGATCTGTTAAGAATTTAAATTCCAGAGTTGGGAGACTCGAAAACAAAAATCACGAAATTGAAGAATCGGTCAACTTTATGTCAGACAAGTTTGATAGTGAAAGTAGCCATATGGCAACATTAACGAAAGAGATTCAGTTGCAAATGAAAGATCAGGAGAAACAAATACTGGGTCTGCAAAAACATATAACAAATATAAAAGAATTAAATGCAAAGGTCATGGAAAACGCCACAAAAGAAAAAAAAGAAACAATGCGGCACTCAAACATGATTGAAAACATGTCCAAAAATTTGGATCAAATGAGACGTGACGAGAAGGAAATGGAAGAGCGATTAGTGGATCTTCAGTATCGATCAATGAAGATGAACTTAATTTTTGAAAACCTGGGAGGTGAAGGTAGAGATGAAGATATTTACTACAAGCTTAGATGTTTTCTAGCAAATGAATTAAACATACAGCACGATGTTCAGTTTGCAAATGTGCATAGATTTGGACGGCACTACAGAGGAAAAAATCGTCCGGTGGTCGCTAGATTCATATATCAGGAGGATCTTGATCTCTGTTTACAGCGAGCATCATTTCTAAGAGGGACGCCGTTCCGAGTCTACAGGCAGTACCCAGCATCAATGGCTGAAAGGCGACGCACTCTTATTCCAATCATGAATAAATTCTGGAACGATGGATCTCGAGTGAAACTTGTACGCGATCGTCTTTTTGTTGACGGTGTACTCTATGATCCGAGTGACGATCAGTGGATGGAAGAACACACCGAGGAAGTCCAACCGATGGACGTTACGAGGGAGGCAAGGACTGTACGCGAGCTTACAGCTGGAAGCCGTCAGAGTAAATAGGATCACGCGGTCGCGGGATCGAACACAGACAACAGCGCAACTAATAGCCGCGGCCCCGGGACACTTAATGTGTTATCATGGAACATTGGAAAGGGACTTAGAGTTAAACAGAAGGATAGTGATTTTTTATCTATTATCAATAGTGTAGATATAGCATGCTTATCTGAGTGTTGGATAACGGATGTCAACAGTGAAGAAATCAAGATATCTGGGTATGAGTCTTTAATTTTTCCAAGGAAGAAAGGTAAAGGAGGAGGAGTAGTAATTTTTATGAAGCAAGAAATACATAAATATATAAGTGTGGAAGAAAATTTTTTAGATACCATTTTGGTTATACAACTTACACATTGTAAAATTGAAAATAGACCAATTTTTCTGTTTTTCTGTTATATACCACCTGAGGGTAGTGTTTTTTATCGTAAAGAAGATATAGATTTATTTCAATGTATGTATGATCTAATTAGTAAATACACATCACTTGGATGTGTATTTTTGTCAGGCGATCTCAATGCTAGGTGTGGGCTAAAGGAAGACTTTATTGTAAATGATAATCTTTCTGAACATGTATCTGATGCAATACAACATTTGGTATCATATACTTCAGATATATGTAATATTAATAGGAAAAGTCAGGACAGTTATATAAACCAGCACGGTAGAAAGTTTTTGAATTTATGTAAATCCACAGGTTTCCGAATTGTAAATGGTAGGCATTCCGGAGATTCTAAGGGAAGTATAACTTTCTACGGTGCCAATGGAGTCAGTTTAATTGACTACCTTATATGTCGACAGGAAACTATGCAGTATATCTTAGAATTTTCTTCTGGAATATTTAATACTTTATCTGATCATTCGCCTCTATTTTTCAAAATCAATTGCAATAATCTTCATGAAGGTACATATTCTTCTAACGACATGTCAACAAATCACTTTAGAGTAGAGTGGAAAAATATAAGATGGAACGAGGACGAAAAAGACAGTATAAATTATGATCTAAGTAATAATGCAGAAACATTAATTAACATAGTAAATTGTCAGTTAAAAGACCAACAAGAAGTAGACAATTGTGTTAATAATCTGTGTAATGTTATAAATGAAATTGTTTTACCAAAATGTCAAACAAAACAGGAGCAATATACAAGTGAAAATTCACAAAATAAGCATAAATCTAGAAGAGATGATAAACCTTGGTTTAGTGATGTATGTAAAAAGAAATATTTGGACTATAAAAACGCTTTGCATATTTTTAATGTAAATAAATCAACGGAAAACAGAAACAAACTATTGCAGGTAAAATCAATTTATAAAACACTCGAAAGAAAACTTAAAAGAGCTTATAAATGTCAAGAAGGTAATATGATACAATCGTTAAGAAAAACCAATCCACGAAAATTCTACAAACATTTTTCAAAAAGGAAAATCAAATGTCCTGCAACTGAAATAGGGTTGGAAAATTTTTATAACCATTTTAGGAATCTAACTCAGAATACAAACCCGGAGGAAGATCAATATAACCCAGATGCTGATAATTTTATTGAACCTGTATTTGATGAATTGGATTATGAAATTTCTGTCGAGGAAATTAGACATTGTATACAAGATTTAAAAAGAAATAAGAGTTGTAGTGAGGATTTCATACTAAATGAACTATTTATAGACTGTAGTGAGACACTCATACCGGTTTTACATAAAACGTTTAATGCTATATTTATGTCTGGGTTTTTCCCACAATCTTGGTCAAAGGCTATAATTGTACCAGTATATAAAAAGGGAGACGTTAATGACACAAACAATTATAGGGGTATTTCCTTGGTTAGTTGTATGGGTAAACTTTTCACTTCTATTCTAAATCAACGACTACTGAAGTGGGATAAAGATATATCTGTCATAACAGATGCCCAATTTGGCTTTAGACATGGTTATGGGACTGTTGATGCAATTTTTGTATTACAATCATTGGTAAATAAGTTTCTAAGTAAGAAGGGTAGGAGATTATACTGCTGTTTCATAGACTATAAAAAAGCATTTGATTTTGTTAATAGGAGCAAATTATGGGCTAAGTTATGTAAGCTTGGAATACAGGGTAAATTATTGAAGATAATTAAATCTCTTTACGAAAATATCAAATCGTGCGTAAAATATGATGGTGTCCTTTCCGAATATTTTGGAAGTCACGTTGGACTCTTTCAAGGTGAAATTTTATCCCCAATATTATACTCTTTTTATGTAAACGATTTTGAAATGCATTTGTTGAGCGAGAACTGTCCATCGATTGAAATTAATCTAATTAATATATTCCTTATTATGTATGCTGATGACACTGTTATATTAGCAGAAACACCCGAAGCTTTACAAGAAATACTTAACTCTTTGCACAATTATTGTAAGAAATGGAATCTTACTGTAAATACAGATAAAACTAAAATAATGGTTTTTAGAAATGGAGGAAAAATAAAAGAAAATGAGAAGTGGTTCTATGACAAAAATGAATTAGAAATAGTAAATGAGTTTAATTATCTTGGATTATTATTAAATTATAACGGTAAATTTACTAAAGCACAACAGAAGCTGGCAGAACAGGGGAGAAAAGCTCTTTTTAGAGTTCAAAGTAAACTTTATGATTATTACTTTAATACTCAAACAAAATGCTCCGTTTTCGACACTTACGTCAATAGTATACTTTCGTATGCTTCCGAAGTATGGGGTTTTAACAAAGGAATTGATATAGAAAAAGTTCATGTACTGTTCTGTAAAAAAATTTTAGGGTTAAAAAAGAATGCTAGTAATAAGCTTCTTTATCTTGAACTAGGTAGATTTCCCTGCCATATTTTAAGAAAAATAAAAATTATGAAATATTGGTTAAAGCTGAGAAAAACAGAAAATTGTATTCTGAAGACGTGTTATGAAGAAATGGTACAGGAAAATGATGAATGGATTGTAAACATTAAAACAGAACTAGATAAATTAGGATTAAACTTCTTGATGCATACATATTATGATGAAAAATATGCATTTAAACTTATTGAACAAAGAATGAAAGATATTTACATTCAAGAAATAAGAGCAGAAATTAACATTATGCCCAAAGCTAATTTATACAAATATCTTACAGAAACACATTGCCTTCAATATTACCTAAACAAGCCTTTAAGTGTTAAAAATCGAGAAATAATTTCAAAATTTAGGATGTCTGATCACAATTTATATATTGAAAGGGGTAGATACACGAATACTAGTAGAAATGATAGAAAATGCATATTATGTAATCAGGATGAAATAGAAGATGAATTTCACTTTATTTTACAGTGCCCAACGTATGAAAATATAAGAAAGAAATATATTAAAAGATATTATTATCAAAATAGTAGTGTATATAAATTAATACAACTATTTAGCGCTCGAAATGTAAAGGAATTAAGGGGTCTTGGAATTTTTTTAAGAGAAGCAAGTCATATACGGGAAAGTAAATTAGAACTACATGTATAATATTAATTTTTTAAGAGTGAATTACTATGTCACAACAATATATGTGTGTGTATATGTATATATATATATGTAAACATTTAATCTCAATGTCATTTTAAATTGTGTGAATATATTGTAATATATATTATATATATTCTCTTCTTTAGCCATGTCAATTATGTATATACTATATGTAATTACATGCATGTAATTATGTTTCTCTGATGTATCTGTTGATACAAGGAATAAAAGAACTGAACTATAACGCACCTAATTATCATACCGCGCGTTGGTATTCAATTTGTCGGCAAGCCCGGGTGCTGTTATATATATATGACAGACGACATCCAACAATATGAATTCAATGATTAATTATTACACTGGCTTGGTCATCTTATGATTTGTATTTCATAGGGAATGTCGAATTCTCCAGCTATTGATTTAATTGAATAATTGGCCGAAATAGATAAAATTTTAATTCATAAAAAAATATTTTAAAAAAAAGCAATACCATTCAAGCTGGTCGCATACCATTTGTAGATCAGCATATATGCTACACACACGGCTGGTATTATTCTGAGCACTTGCTTCGAAATAAATTGATTCCCCAGGAACATATCCGATTCAATTTAGTTTTAACGTTCCCACGATAGGCCCTGATTTACAACACAAGCAGCAAAGGTCTTTTGAATTCTGTAACTCTCTACCATTCTTAAAAGAGAGCATAATATTTCACATAAATGACAAATAATGCATGCATAGAGAGTTCTGGTAGTTTGATTAGAAACATTTTCAATTACTCACAGCAACTGATGGTTCTAGATTCAAATCTAATGTTGTTAAGACAGTGAAAGGCCTCACGGTGCGTAGATTGAATTTCCGGGGTCGGTCTATTATTCCTTCTACTTGGTACCGAACGTGTCCGTATTCTCCCTCGAAGGACGACGGCAATTGAAGAGGTAAGACAAACGAGAAAGGGAACACATGCTGTGCCGGGGACAAACGGTGTAAATCACCGCCGACCAAACCTTTAATATCATAGAAAAAAATGCAAAAAAAAATTATTACGTAGTAATCAAAAAAAGAAAGGCACAGTTCAATGGAAAGTTAGTGACAAGTTAGTTAAGAGAATTGTGTATTGATAACAATACTAAGAAGGTTTACAATCAAAATGACATAATCATAGAGAAATTCAATATCAAAGACTAGTCATTAAAGATCAATACATGTACATGTATCTGGTATCCCCCCATCAATGATAGTCTGACAACTCTGCCAATGGACGCAAGTGAGTGTCTAAAAACAGTCTAGGGATGTTATCCCACACTAACTTCAGAGCTTCTGCTTTAGCAGAATCTGGAGTTGCGGTTGTATTTGGTGGATATACCTAGTATCCAATCGTCCCTTGATTCTCATCATCGGATACCCAAGGGTGACCTTCTCTTTTACTCACCGATATATCGTCGTATGTAAATAATATGCGCGGATCATTAGAATGGCTGCTGCACAGAATCGCAATGGCAATTAGACGAATCACAGTTCGTTACACCGATTCCTTACACCGATTGCAAACAAATTCACTCGCCCGTGCAGTTAGTAGTTTGAGAAAGGCACTCCTATATTATTCCTGAATGGTATTCAATGCCAATGACATGTATCGTTTTAAAACAAAATTCGCATGTTTTAACGGTGTCAAGATATTACCATAAATAGCAAACTTGTAAACCTATTTTCAAAATTGAAGAGCTTCAACTTTCTGATTGGTTGTCTATAATCGACGGATTTGCATAATAAAGACGATATTTCAGCGAGTTTGACCAACTTTGAGGGTGAGAAGTGAAAGACGAGATAACCCGTGGGTACTAGACGATGCATGATGCTTAGTAGGGTTTAAGATGGTCAAGACAGAATTGGGGGTGTTGTGGCTTTGCAAGAATGCACTTATCATTGTGGCTTTGTAAGAATGAACGTATCAGACAAGCCGAATGTTGCCCTGCACTTTTTGTTACAACGGGATACTGCATTATTGGAAAACACGTGGAGGTAGGACTTCGTCCATGTACCGAATATAAACAAATTGGTCCTGGTTGTATAGAATTCCGCTGCTCACATCATAACACAACCAACATCAACTTTTCAGCCTTCCTATGGAATCCGGATAGGGCCATGCAGTTCACTATCGCATCATCGCACCATCGAGGTTTGAGTCGATAGTGCGATGACGCGATAATGTGATGACGATGAAGCGATGGTGCGATAATGATGAAGCGATGGTGCGATAGCGCGATGGCGATGATGCGATGGCACGACAATGCGATGACGATGATGCGATGGTACGATGAAGCGATAGCGCGATGACGCGATGGCACGATAGCGATGATGCGATGGTGCGATAGCGATGATGCGATGGCGCGATAGTGATGACGCGATGCTATATCGTGACATCGTTATTGCTTTATCGCACTATCGTCATCGTGTCATCGCACTATCGCTCTATCGACTAGTACTTTCTATAACCGGATAACATTCCCAGCAGTCATTGCACAACATGGCGTTTGTTGACGAAAAGATTCAAGAATATTTCTTCAACGGATACGATAATAAAGAAATCATATTCCTTCTTTGGAGTAATTATGGTGTGAAAATAAGGTAGGTATTATTAATTGTCAGAAGTTATGATAATATAAGTACCTGTATAGGCTAATATTTTCTCTAAGAGTAATAAAGGTACTATACATTAAATTTGTAGTCTCATTCAAAGATTGTTTATATGCGTGTTCTACTTGTATGTATATATCTGTTATTTAGTGATTGAAGTTAAAATCTCCCATTTTAAGATACAGTATATTTTATGCATTATTTTTTTTAAAATAATTAAGCTGTAGACATTTGAAAAGACGCATGACCAGACTTAATTTGAGAAGACGGAGATCATACAATGTGGATATGGCAATAAGGGCTATTCAGGTAATATTGCTTGTGTTTCATTTCATCTTTCTTTTTTGATAGATTGATCAAATCTAGAAAAATCGTCAGTAACATCTACATTTTGATGATAGCTCATTATTTTTAGTTAACTCATACAAATGCTAAAAATTTCATATGATTTACATATATTCTACTCAAAGGAAGAAATGATGTTCAGTGGACAGACTCTTGGGTGTCGTTCGATGAAACGAAGGCTTCTTCAGAAACATGGCATCTTTATAGGAAGGTATATTATCTTATTATGATTAATAAACAGAATTCAAACGATGTGCCTATTGCTTATAATGAGTTTTATATAAATAAGATATTTATAATAATTTCATTGAATTTATTTTTTTTGTTATTGAATTTAAAATGGTTGATGATTAATTATATATATATACTGTTCCAGGGATAACATGTGTTTATTGAGAATAATCGATCCTGATGGAGTTGATCTAAGAGCAAGTCACTGCTTGACAAGAAGAATGTATCTAAGCAATGGACCAAATTATCTTGCACATGTTGATGGGTACGACAAGTTGAAGCCATTTGGCTTCGCTATACATGGTGCAATGTGTGGGTAAGTTAATGTGCATCAGTTTTTAGTGTTCATTTGAGTCATGTAAGATTACAAGAATTTATGAAGTTATAGAATTTATGATTGTTATATACTGTTGTAGCTACATATCAGAAAACAATATCAACTATTAATCTAAATGATCAAATTCCTATCCTTTCAGATTTTCAAGACGAATACTATGGCTTAAAGTTGCAAAAACAAACAATGACTCTTTTGTTGTAGCATCATATTTCTTGAAATACCTGGAGGAAATAAATAGTTGAGTATATAATTTTTACAAATCAATGATAAATATATTCCTGAAACTGTAAATGCAGTTTAATTTTCACAAGTTAATTTTCTACTAAGTAACATTCTAAATACATTATTTTGTATTGATACAGAATAAATACACATAAAATGCATTATTTTGTAAAAAATATTTACTTGAACAAAGAAACCATATTTGTCTCAGTTCATGGTAGTATGAGTTTTCCAATACATAGGTGCTCCAAGGTGTGTGAGACTTGATGCTGGAACTGAGAATATATACATTGAGGGTATTCAAAAATCCTTCCGTTGGTACGATAATGATGACATATGTGGAGAAAAGAGTTTATCAAAGGAAGATCAATGTCTAACCAGGTATGAATATGAAGTTGTTTTTTAAATAACAATATGATTTAGTAACTTATGTTGTATAAACAAATCAGATGAGTTTAATAACCTTCTAAAATCTGCACACCTAGGACTGAGTTCCAATTCCAGTTAACACTCCTGCAGTAGAAGTTAGAGTAATTTGCCCTTTGATTTGAAAATTGGGGGGGGGGGGGGGGGACTTGATCAAATCTGAATGGTCTACTACTCCAATCACAGTCAATTCAGTTAGTCCCAACTTAAGGACATACATAACGTAGTTTGAACTTTATTGTCTATTTCCCTGGAGTTGAAGAGTTACAATACTTAAAAGAACTGTGTGCTAAACTTTAATGTCCATATTTTCTGTTGTACACTTCTTCTTCAACAATTTTGGGTAAACAAAACATTTAGAATATATGTTTAGTTATTTTTGTATATTTTTCTTTGCATTATACAAGAATTTTCATCATTTGATATCTTTTTAAAACCCCTGGTAATGCATGCTAATTTTTTGTCTATGAACATCTGATGACACTATAATCTTAAATTAAGAATATCTTGAAAAATTATCAGTAGGTAAGGTATGTTGCGTATGTCCTTAATATAAGATCAAATAACTGAAGTAATTGAATACTTTAAAAATTTGTATGTGTAATCCTCATTTAAGTTTCTTTTCAAACTCTCTACTTTTCTGAACATTTTTCCTGAGGGAAAATAGATCAACTGATTATTTTCACTATTACTTTTCAAACACCAAAATAATTCTTCATATTATTATCTTTCATAGGCGTCATTGTGTAATCTGATACCACAGATAATTTTAGAAATAATAAGTTTTGCAAACTTCATACTTTCATTATTTGCATCCGTTTCATTTAATAGAGTTCAAGGTGACACAGTTCTTTTTATAGTATTAGTTATACTACAGAGCCATCGGGGGGGGGGGGGGGGAGATGCAATTGCAACCCCTGAAAACACCAATATTTTGTTTAAAGTTTTGCTATTTATTTGTTTATTTCATATTTGAAAAAAATGACCCCCAGAATGCAACAGACTTGTATGCATTTTTATTATAAATTTTCTGACCCAGGGGAGGGATAACCCTCCCATACCCCTCTCCATACCCCTTTCTAGAAACCTGTTGTCAAATATTTGAAAATGAAGTCAGTTTAATGATTTAAAATATCTCTGCACATAATTTGATATACAAATTATTGTTTCTGTATCATTATGAAATTAATATATGACTAATTTATGTGATTGTTTTATGCCCCTATGATTAAAGATTCGGGGTCCTTATCCATATAGCTTTGGGTCTGTCTGTATTTTTATCTGCAAAGACTTTAATGCACCAACATTTTTTGACCTAATGACCTTGACCATAGGGTTCGACCTACTTATGAAAAAACTTTAATTTTGGACATAACTTCTGAATGGTTGATGTTAGAGATTTCGTATTTCTCAAGTGTATTTCTTGTAAAAAAAAATCTGTCTTGGAGTTTAACCTACTTTTGTAAAACTTTGACCTTGGCCATAACTTTGAACGGTTGATCTTAGGGAAGTTGTGTATTCCTTGTGAATGTACCAACATTTGTACTCAATAACCTTGAAGTTTGACCTACTTTTGAAAAATCAGCCTTCAGTTTTTCAAAAACACATTTTGATTTAAGAGAATTGAACGCTGGTGGAGAACACTGAGAGAGATGGGCATCTCCTTCTGGATAGACTTGTTCAAAGACATGGAAGACCAAGGGATGTTCTCATCAGCAAATAACGAGCACATGTAAGAAGAGAAATAAATTCTTTATTTATACTTTAAAAAATTAAGAATTTACGCATTTATAACCTATTATGATATTTCTGCATGTTACCTAAATCCTTATGACTAAGACTAAACCAACCATTTATAAGTGTTTTTCTAATTAAAGAAATATTAAGAAATATAAACATTTTTTTACAGGAAAAATTTCACCCTGATTTTTTTTCTTGTTTTCAAAATTGACCTTTAAAATTTACCAATTTAGAGAATGCCTTCGCTTCTGTTTTATGAAAATCATCCAACAAGAACTTGATCAAATAAAAACAGAATGGAATAACCATTACATCAGAGCACAAAGACGCTATGATGATGATGGAAATCTCCCAGGAAAACCAGAAATGATGTTTTTCCACCCTGAAATTTTTGGTATTTTTCCTAGCAAAGATTTGTCTAATCACTAACTTTAATTTGAATATTTTTCTGTGTTTACCTTTCTCCTTCGATACCTTGGTTGTTTTTCAGTACTCAAATTTAAAACAGTATCAACACATCATGACTTCATTTTTTTATGTACAGGTGCAGTAGATTATAAATTTCGAGTGGATATTCATGACGTGCTAGAGTTTCAAAGACTATTTCCTAGTCCAAGCTCGACAGGATGTTGGGAGGACTATGCAGCATACTTTGATCATTTGTTTTTGGAGGGTGGGAGAATTGTTCCAAACACCACTGAGAAGGCCATGGAGGCTTTGAAGTACTTGGTTGAAAAGTTGTAAAATCCAAATTAAGATTAGAGAATAAATCATCACCTGATGTTTCACTTGACTTTTTTTCAATTTTCATGAAAAATATTGTACACTAATCATCAAAGTGTATGAATTAAAAGTCACAAACAAAAATTATTACTATGTTTATTGGGTCACCATACATGCCACATTCATTAGAACAACTATTAATGAAAATTGCAAAATGAGGATATAAGGAAAGCAAACTGCTCTGAGAAAAACTTTTTTGGCATACAGATGCAACAATCTAGAATTTAAAATTCAAAAGCATGCTTACTACCACAAATACACCAAATATCAATTAATATTCCCATACAAAAAAGTCTTTTTGTATTATCTTTCCCTGAAGAAATACTCCTCATATGATTATCAATGTCCTTTAGTATTATCTTTCCCTTAAGAAATACTCTTATTCGTTAATATGACTATCATTGCCATTACTGAGTTTAAAAATTAATTGAATGAAAACTTTCAAAACATAGATATAGCATTGAATACATAAAGTTATTTTCTTAAGCAAGATGGAATCCCCCCCCCCCCAAGTGATTGCCAACTACATTTTTCTGTGAAATTCCTCAGGGGGTTCTCCCCTAGATATTTCCAACAAAAGATCGCAGGTATGTGCACTTGGCAAACAGGCAGGGTCTTCCACAAATTTAATTTCAAGCTTTTTGTGAAATCCTAGTGGAGGGATTGTTTCAGCTCCAGTCCAAAACGCCAAGAGCATGTTTAGATTAATTTTAGATGTACCTTCTGAAAGAAAAGGAAAATAAAGAGATGAGTTAGAAATACATGTCAAGTAGTATAGAAGTTGCAAATTTTGACTAAGAAAAGCATTATTGCCTCTTAAGGTCAACTTGCATTTACGTGTACCTTACCAACTATTTTCCAGGATATTCCTAATTTAAAATTATAGAGTCTCATCAGGAGTTTTAAGACAAAAAAAAAAAAAACAGCATACATTACCAGGAGTTTTCAAAAGATGTAATATGATGAAAATCATTGTATTTTCTCAAAGAAAAAAATAACAAAAATATAGTGTTAGCTGGTATTTCCTCAACATTTGCTTCAGAGGAGGTAACGGCATTTACAGGCATCATTAAATTGTACAAAGGTTTTTCAATTATTGAACTCTTAATTAAATCAACAAGGGAATAAGAAAATAAAATTCCAACACTATGTTGTGTATGTCCTTAAGCTCATAAAAGTAATGTCAGCAAATATTCTGTATAATTGGCATTCTGGTGAATTAAAGAAATAAAATTAATACTTTGAACAAGAAACCTGAATTCTGTTTATTAATCATAATAAGATAATATACCTTCCTATAAAGATGCCATGTTTCTGAAGAAGTCTTCGTTTCATCGAACGACACCCAAGAATCTGTCCACTGAACATCATTTCTTCCTTTGAGTAGAATATATGTAAATCATATGAAATTTTTAACATTTGTATGAGTTAACTAAAAATAATGAGCTATCATCAAAATGTAGATGATACTGACGATTTTTCTAGATTTGATCAATCTATCAAAAAAGAAAGATGAAATAAAACACAAGCAATATTACCTGAATAGCCCTTATTGCCATATCCACATTGTATGATCTCCGTCTTCTCAAATTAAGTCTGGTCATGCGCCTTTTCAAATGTCTACAGCTTAATTATTTTAAAAAATAATGCATAAAATATATCTTAAAATGGGAGATTTTAACTTCAATCACTATTTCTTAAATAACAGATATATACATACAAGTAGAACACGCACATAAACAATCTTTGAATGAGACTATAAATTTAATGTATAGTAACTTTATTACTCTTAGAGAAAATATTAGCCTATACAGGTACTTATATTATCATAACTTATGACAATTAATGATACCTACCTTATTTTCACACCATTAATACTCCAAAGAAGGAATATGATTTCTTTATTGTCTTTTCGTCAACAAACACCATGTTGTGTAATGACTGCTGGGAATGTTATCCGGTTATAGAAAGTACTAGTCGATAGAGCGATGGTGCGATGACACGATGACGATAGTGCGATAAAGCAATAACGATGACACGATATAGCATCGCGTCATCACTATCGCGCCATCGCATCATCGCTATCGCACCATCGCATCATCGCTATCGTGCCATCGCGTCATCGCGCTATCGCTTCATCGTACCATCGCATTGTCGTGCCATCGCATCATCGCCATCGCGCTATCGCACCATCGCTTCATCGTTATCGCACCATCGCTTCATCGTCATCGCATTATCGCGTCATCGCACTATCGACCCAAACCTCGATGGTGCGATGATGCGATAGTGAACTGCATGGCCCTATCCGGATTCCATACCTTCCTGATGTAATTTTCTGCAAAACGTTATTACACACGTAATTAAATATAAACACTGACATTTTTGAAACTGTCAAGCTCGCAATAAAATAAGGTATCGTAACTAAACCAAACTGTTCGCCAGCGCTGCTGTGGCCATACTTTGTTTGCCTGAGTTGTTGGAGGTGTTGCGGAGTCAGAACAACGTATGAATAGGTCTGCTGGCTCTAATTCCATTTATCCCGTAGTCGATTGAAATTTGTTCAGATATTCTGTGTATCTCAGGGAAAGCTGATCCTGTAGACGACGTTGTTGTAGAAGTATAGGAAGATGAAGCAAATCAATGAACGATCCTGTGGTGATGATGTCATTTGGTCTGCCAGATTGTTGCATCCTGCTGCTGGTATCTGTTTTATGGGCTTTGTATAAAAAGAAGTAAACTTTATGCTTTATTGAAGTCCATTTTTACCTTTTCCAAAAACCGATATTGTTACATCAAAATATTTTTGGTGGTCCTTGAAGGTAGCGTCATCTTTGGTCCAAGATACATGAGCTTTTCCTTCGAACGTTAATCTAATTTCTACAAAATGCATAAAAAATGTTTAAGTATAATGGAAAAGTTAATTATCGTTTTATCTTGAGTTTATCTTTTCTCTATTTTATATACTCTAAACATAAGTATAAGGAGAATCTGTCTCCACTTGTACATAAATATGACAATAAATCTTCACATTTTTTGTATTTTAAAACTGCTGGAAAATTTTACCAAAATATTGAGAAAAGCATGCATCATCGGTTAAATTTTCTACCAATGAAAGATCATTAATTTGTTCAAAGAGAAGTTATAATCTGAGAATATGGAAAATTTTGTTGAATTATTGAAATATCAGTCTGCAGTTTAAACATACATGTAAGTATATTTCCGTTGTGTACAAATCGTGTCTTTGCATGAATGCATGAATGGGATAAAAATGTATGTATGAAAAAATTCTTTAAAACAGGTGCATTACAGATCTTTAACAATTTTTTTATATGTATTTAAGGAATATTTACAAATAAAAGATAATTTCATATTTTCACCGGTTTAATTGCGGAAACTAGAATCGGAGATATGATTGAATTGATTTTTTAATAAAGACTCTAGGTTATATAACCATATAGACAGAATCAAATCCGGATAAAATCATAATGTGGAGAAAAATCTACCATGTTGCAACAGTCCATGGAAATGCAATAAAGAGGGGGAATTTTTTCTTCATAGCAGTCATTCCTTAGATAGGGGGATGTAGCATTATAACTTTCCTTCCGTAAGGGTAAGTTTTGTTTTAAAGCAAATCTTCCCCGGGAACCTAATATGCTATAAAATACCGGGGGTGGGGGTTGCTATAATTACCTGTATGTTATAAAGTATGATGACAAGGGGAGATCTTTGCTATAAAAATACCGATAAGTTATACAGAATGATGACCGGGGGTGGGGGGTGGGGTGGCTTTCCTGTAAAATATCGGTTTATTATAAAGTATGATGACAATGGGGAACCTTTGCTATTAAATACTGGTGTGTTATAAAGTATGATGACAAGGTGGAACTTTGAAATACAGGTGTGTTATAGAAAGAATGATGGCAAGGGTGAGTCTATGTTATAAAATACCGACACGTTATACAGTATGTTGACAAAGTGGGACCTATGCTTTAAAATACCACTGTTATAGAGTATTATGACAAGGGGGACCTTTGTTATAATCCCCTGTATGTTCTAAAGCATGATTACAATGGGGACCCTTGCAATAGAATACGTTATAGAATATGTTATATAGTATGATAACAGAGAGGCCGGCCGATTGGATATTTTGATGTCCCTCAACAATGGATGGGAGCACAAAAGGGGTTGAAATATTTTCAAATTATGAAAAATAAGTTACGAATTAGGTAAAGTGTTTTCCTTTATTAAAAAAAATCCCCAGAGGTAATTATTTTTAATGTAATGTAAAACAAAAAAAGTAGAAAAATACCACGCAATTCCATATCTGTTTCCAGATCAATGACTGCTCTTCCAGTAACAGTTTGTCCAGGTATATATACGCCGAGTTTATCATCAAAGTCTATTTGGAAGGACCTCAACTTTTCCATCTTGTAGTTTAAAAACCTCTATGTTTTAGCAGAATTTTCTTGTAAACTGAAATTCTAAAGTAGCAAGTATTAACTGGATAATGTTTAACTTCATACACTTAATATCCACATTCAATTTTTGTTCAACTAAAATATATCATTCTTGCTAAAAAAAAAAAAAAAAAAATCAAAGATTTTCATCAAAATTTTCCTACTTCGACAAAATTTATTTAGTGGCATTTAATACTGTTTATGCTGAAATCTAGGGAAAAAATTGGATATTACAATTTAATTCTGATCAAAACTATAATGCAACACAGTTGGTGATAGTCATTTGTTTACAATGAATGGGTGTTTTTTTACGTATACACGTATACCGGAGTAATCTTTTTCGTAAATCTAGTTTAAAAGTTTTCCAAGGAACACATATTTCGCCTGGTGTAACAACATCCACCTCACAACGCCAGGGGTCCCGAGTCCACTCTTGGATGTGGAACGTACCCCCTGACAAATTTCTTTTTTTTTTTCAAGCCAGCTTCGCTTTTTTTCTGTTCTCTTTTCGAACATATTGTGTAAATCAAAAGGATTAGAAACAAGTTTTTAAAACTAGTTCTTCTGCTCAAATATTACATCATATAAATCAAAGAAAAATGATATATTCAAGTGAAAACCGGTTATATAACAATTACATATAAACTATGAGGGAATCTTTTGATTTCATCAATGAATTTGTGAACAGCAGCAAAAAATGTTATTTATCCTGTAAAGGCAAATTTACATCAACCCTATAATAAAAGATTTATATCAATACCGTTGTAGAGTAGGATTTCCACCATAGCTAACCCTCCCCCCCCCCCCCGGAAACTGTATAATCTATGTTAGGACCCCCCTCCTCAGAGGAAATTTCACATTACATATAGCCAGGTGGAAAGAAAACAAATGCAAAATATATAATATACCTTTCTCACTCCAGTTTTCAGGAACCTATCGCCCACAGGGTGGAAAAGTTCTTAGGTAAACTCAGAGAATAAATGCACTAGTGCAAAAATGCCAAGGAATATATTCATGCATGTACCTTGTTAAAAAAAAAAAACTACATTTGGAATATGACAAGAAGTCACCTGATTATTCCAATTACGAGTTATCTAATTTGTAAGTAGACAGATTTAAATTCCTCTAGATCGGTATTGATTCGATTGTCTCTGGGGTTTTAAAGCCTTAAGGAAATCAGTAAACCATTTTAACGGTTTTTCATCATCTTTGAGATATTTATAAATATAGATTAAATGGAATTAGGACAATAATTAGCATTTCCTAATTCAATGTTTTTGAGGAAAAAAAAATTACAACAAAATGTACCTTTCTGGAATATTTTCAATATTCAGTAGATTCCCTAACAAAAAAAATAATACTATAGTAAACTATAGTTTACTATAGTTAACTATATTTAATCAAAGTTCCAAAGTTTTCAATATAGTAAATCAAAGTTCCAAAGTTTTTACTATAGTAAATCAAAGTTCCAAAGTTTTCACTATAGTTAATCAATGTCCAAAGTTTTTACTATTATCAAAGTTTCAAAATATCACTATACTATATCAACTTTTTCACAATAGTTTATCAACTTATTAAAGTATTTAAATGATTTTTTGCTTATTTTAGCGTTTTTTAAGGGGATGGGGTTGGGTGGGGACTGGGGGTGTTGTACATGTTAATTTAAATTTACAAATTAGTTAACTCAAATACAATACTTATATTTATAAATTAAACAAAAATACATTTTTACTGAAGTTGATGTAGAAGATATTTTGGTTCTAAATGACGCGGATTTTATTTTGTAGTTTATTGTTGTCATTTCTCCATAAAAAAAGGACTTACACTACATCTGCTTTAAAAAGTTCTCTGAAGCTTTTGTGAATTTTGAACATTAAATATCATAAAATGTCAAGAATGAAAATCAATAACACAATTCCATGGGTTTTTCTATAGTAAATCAAAGTATCAAAGTTTTTACTATAGTAAATCAAAGTTTTTTTTTACTATAGTAAATCAAAGTTCCAAAGTTTTCACTATAGTAAATCAAAGTTCCAAAGTTTTCACTATAGTAAATCAAAGTTCCAAAGTTTTTACTATAATTAATCAAAGTTCCAAAGTTTTCACTATAGTAAATCAAAGTTTTCACTATAGTAAATTAAAGTTCCAAAGTTTTTACTATAATTAATCAAAGTTCCAAAGTTTTCACTATAGTAAATCAAAGTTCCAAAGTTTTCACTATAGTAAATCAAAGTTCCAAAGTTTTTACTATAGTTAATCAAAGTTCCAAAGTTTTCACTATAGTAAATCAAAGTTCCAAAGTTTTCACTATACTAAATTAAAGTTCCAAAGTTTTTACTATAGTAAATCAAAGTTCCAAAGTTTTCACTATAGTAAATCAAAGTTCCAAAGTTTTTGCTATAGTAAATCAAAGTTCCAAAGTTTTTACTTTGATACTATAGTAAACTATAGTTAACTATAGTTTACTATAGTATTTTTTCTTAGGGTTTATGTATTTTATAGTATACATTCCAATAAAAGATTCAGTACTTTATAATTCTACAGAAAACCAAGTGTTCCTAAAAGTGAAATGCTGCATTGTTTACAGGTGCGAATGAGATGGATCATGCTTATTCACGAGTTCTATGGACGATATCGGAAGATTTGGTTTGTTTGTTAGATTTACTTAGACTGTTAAGGAAGCTCGAAACACTGCACACTAAAGAGTTCTACTTGTAGGGAAGTTTTATGCAGTTAGCTGTAGAGTGATCTGCCCTCAGAAGTAATTTACTGTTAATTATATACTTTGTAATAGATTAAAATATTCTTAGCATTGTATTATACCAAGAATAAGTAATTTAATTCATTATTTCTATTAATTTTTCAAATATAATCAAACAACAGTGATTTCTTTTTCACGAATAGTCCATTGTCTTTAAACTTTTTTCCTGCGGAAATAAGACAGGTACCCTATGCTAAAAATGAACTAAATAGTCTAAATATACACCTTTATATGATACCGGTATATTTTTCTCCAAGTCAAAAAAGCACTTTTTGTGTCGCCTGCAGAGCTGAGCAGCACCAAGGGATCACTTTACCCGGCGTCTGTCTGTCTGTCTGTCTGTCTATCTGTCCGGCTGTCACATCCTATATCTCAAGAACTGTAAGAGGAATGGATTTGATATTTTGCACATATATTGCTTGGCACTATGGCTTTTGTAAATTATCAAAGTTACCGATTTCGTGACCTTTGACCTTGATCTTTGACCTACTTTTCAAAATAGCTCATAGTGCCGATATACGGCATATTTTTTGACGTTTCAGAGATAAGTCTATGCTATTTAGCGTGTGCACTGTTTGTCATAAGACAATATGAAAAATATCAGCATTACAATCCACTTGACCTTTCACCTACTTTGCAAAAAATATCTCGGGTAGTTTGATTAAACTTATGACTTTTGAATTTTGAAAGGCAGGGTTTAGATAATTAGCATTTATATATGTTTATGAGCTCATGATAGTGTACATGTACTTTGAAACCGTATGATATTCAGTTACCAAACAAACATATTTTTAAATGCTATGAAAATACATCAGAATCGGTATTTCACAATGGATCGTGTAGACTGAGAATTTCAGTAAAGACAGACTGAAATTTCTTTTGAATGATTATTGGAAACACGTTTAGTATTATTTAGAGAACTCGACAGGTACTGTATCGTAGATACAAATTTGGGGTGGACGAGTGCGTAGCACGAGTCTCCACCCCAAATTTGTATCTACGATACAGAACCTGTCGAGTTCTCTAAATGATTTGTGACACGATCAATCAAAAAAAGCACCGCCCCCTTTATACGTGTACAGCATCCAAACTTCCGCCAGGGTTCGTTTGCTCTGTCTGTAGATGAGGCCTCGACGGGGAGTATACATCCGCAGTATATATATTTCCACGGACGACGAAAGATTCAGTAAGGTTAGTTTTGACAACGGGGTAGATGTGACAGACTTGAAGTCAGTCTTAATTGATAAGGTGGACGATTTAACCTTGTTGTAGATGGAGCTTGATCCTAATTTATTTTAAGGGTCTTCAAATCTGAGTTTACATGTAACTAGATACACATACAGGCGATACAGACAGTTTTTCGATGGACTTTGATTTTACGGATTTTATTTTATTTTTGAAATGCGACATTAAAATTTCTAATGTCGCATTTCAAAAAGAAAAAAAAAATCCATTTAATCCATTAAATTTTAATTTATAAACGAAGTGAAAGAGATGCGCGGCAGTCGTCAGCGATAAGGATTTAAGATGAAATTAAAAAAAAAAAACAACTGAAAAATGGACTTGATTGAGTTTGCACGAAAAGAGTGGAAAATGGGGATAGGGGGAGTGCGAATTTCACGTAATGTATGCTGCATCCGCGAACCCATTGGCTTTACTATTTTGAAGGGGCGTAATGTATGCTGCATCCGCGAACCCATTGGCTTTACTATTTTGAAGGGGACACAAAAAGCAGGGAAAGCAAACAGGTTTTCAGGAATTTATCCAACATAGGATGTTTTCCATAATTTGCGAATTTCCTTTTCGTTTGGATCGAAATAACGTGTAGATTCTGTGTGGAATAATTTTTTAAAAGTGATTAAGAAATTCTGACATTTTCTATTCCTAAGGAAATATTTCTTCAAAATTTATAATAGGGAAAAATCAGCATTTACCATTTGTACGTGCTTTTGATAAATTGAATCAGATTTATTTTTAGACCGTGCTGTATTTTAGATGCAGAACAGTTGGCTAATACAAGACAGTATATAGGGCTAATACAGAACGGAAAGTAGCTCCCCCACTGTTTTCCAGTTCTGTATTGCTAATACAGAACAGCAAACTTCAAAGAAAAACACCGCAATCGTGTCACAAGCTCGTGAAACAGTACTTTGAAACTGTATGATATTCGGTTACCACACAAACTTATAATTAAATACCATAACGATAT